AAATACATCTGCTACTCTGCTACCTTGGCTGCTCGTGGAGGTCATTTTCCTCCTTGTCTATGAGGTGAATCATAACTGAATATGGAACCTTTCTTTTGAATTCCTCGAAAACTATGAGGTTGCAAAGTTGATCAAAATTAGTGACTGAAGCAGACTTTATCCACCGTTTAAAAGCTCTAAGCTTCTCCGAGGCAAATTCAGCATATGTTTGACTGGAAAATTTGTTCATGTTCCTGAAAGCCTGCCGATATCCTTCAGTGGTTATGGAATAAGCAGCTAGAATAGCACATTTTACTTCCTCATAATCAGTATTATCATTAAGATTCTCACACACTTTTAGAGCTTTACCGGTCAGTTTAGGCTTTATTAACCAAACCCAGTGTTCCTCAGGCCACTTGAAATGTTTGGCTATGGTCTCAAACTCTCTAAAGAAACCCTCAGGATTATCTTCTGCAAATGCGGGAGTTAGCTTTACGCATTTACTTATCTCAAAACTAAAATCCCCTTGACTTTTCATTTTCATTTCCATCATTTGAAGCTCATGTCGTCTTTGACTTTCCTCTCTTTCCCTTTGAAATTGTCTTTCTCTCTCGCGCTCTTCTTCTCTAGCTTTGCATAATCTTTCTTCACTTAAAATCTTAGCCTGTGTTATTTGAAATCTTAATTTCTCAACTTCTAGCAACTGTGAAGGATTACTGGTATCAAGGTCACTATTTTCATGAGGAAAGACTGAGGATCAGGCAGCTCTTGTAAATGTTCAATTATGAGATCTTTAAGTTGACTTTTAGTAGCATCTTTATGGTAATTAATTCCCCAGTGTCTAGCCATGTATATGAAATCATCTCTACAAGGATTTTCTGAATTAAGGATATCCACTGAAGGATTGGCTATGAAATCATGAACATCGAAAACCATTTTTACATCAAAAGGTTCCAGATTAATATTAATTATTGCTTTACAGATTATGTTTCCATAGAGGTGGCGAGTTAAGATAGAATTAGTAATTACTGATTACTGCAGTATTTTAAAGAAAAACATCTAATTAAGCGGCTATATTGGCAACGCCACCATCTGCCTTCTAGCTCCCACAAACTGAATGGGAAGAATTTGTTCAGATCGTCTCCCAGATTATCGAACTCAAACAAAATTGCTTAAAGATGAATTTGAATTATAAAGTGACTACATTAATGAAGTAGTACAAGACTTCAAATTGCAGTGTGCCAGTGAAGCTAAAAGACGGTCAAGATATATTCCCACCTAATATAATCTTAAACCTTAGCTATATCAGAGAAACTCGTTCATAGACGGTCACACTTACAACCGAGTGTAGTTTACCATGCGTAGTAAACTAATAGAATTAAGGCGAGCTCTGTCGGCTCCAAAGGAATCTCAGGTCGGCTAAAGTGGGAGATGCTTACTCAAATTCAGAGAAGCTGAATCGTACACGATCACGAATGAACCAATATTGAATATGAATTATTTGTTGATTGTGCAACACTTTAACAATGGCCAGTTGTAAAATGCTCACTGGTTACGAGAAATAGCAAAATACTACAACCACTCTTAGGTAAACCTCAACAAAATTGTCATTGCAAGTAACACGAGATATTTAGCAAAATTAATCATAGGAAATAAGTCATGGTGTTCAGATATGGTTGTAAAATATAAATCCCGGTCAGGCCCCCATTTGTAACAATCCCGCTTGTTGTACAGTGTAGTACAATGTAGGTTTATAGTACAAGTACGATAATGCTTAAGACGTCTAGGAGAAGTAGCGGAATAATTACAATAAGTACTGAAAGTAGCTTACATTATAGCTTATGAATTAGTATATTATTTAGCTTACGTTATATTTTATTTAATTCATACATTTCTGATTTATTATTAGATGTACTTTTGAATCATTAGTTAATTATGAAGTTATTCAGTATGCTTTTGTTCAATCAGTATCTTTCAATTACTCGTTTCAGAATTATTCAGTTATTCCAGTATTGTTTCTTATTTCTATTTTATTTATTTAGTGCTCTTATTTAGTTATTCTTCATTATACATATATCCATTATCCAGATATAATTGATTATAGAGTGTCCAATAGTGTATTTTCTCACTTAAGATTATATTCTCATTTAATGTTTCTTAGTATTCTTGGATTATCAGAGTATGTTTATCTCAAATAGGTTTATTTAAATTGAACTATATTTCACACAAGTTTAATTATTTAATTAATTATTTTATACACAACAAACATTCAATATTTTATAAAAAGAACATACACCATGAATGATTAGTAGAATTTCTTCCGTAATTCTGAATACGCACACGTTTTCCACTTAAACACCGGATAATCGCATAATTTATATTAACACCAATAACACTAGAACACCACTTATTTCCTTATGTTCCACCTCATACCCTAACGCATGAATACGATACATATAAACATCACCAGTATACTTAGCAGTGATAAGGTTCCAGATGTATAAACTCTTAATTTTCAACGTTAGTCCACCGCTTACACGTGTACCTGGGAGTGAAGTGAGCAATGGCCGCTCAGACGAGACTCACGTTTTCTGTCCACGTCGCCCCCCAGGTAGACTGCTGCGCCCCGCTTCGAACCTCGGATTCGCGAATCCTCATGCTCGACGCACAATACGCACAACAGTTTCTAACGCATTCTTGTAATCATTTTATTGCGCACAGGCCGTGAATTTGAGATTATAATAATATATAATATATATATATTATATATATATATATAATATATATATATATATATTATGTATATATATATATAATATATATATATATATATATATATATATGCACATAAATATAATATGTATATATCATATATTTCTGTAAGTGTATCGATATATAAATATACATGTAATATATAAATCATATATATGAAATGAGGAGGGAGAGAGACAAAGGTCGATTGAACATCCATTGTCAAAGGAATGTATAATATAACGCAGTTTTCTGAGTCAGTCATACCCATGATGATACTTGTAGAAGCTACAATATTTCGTTTATCTTTATTCATGAATAGTTTTTTTTTTTCCTGATGTACGTTATGTACATGAAATTCGTAACGGTGCAATATGGTGAAATATGCATTTTATAGATTTTTCTTTATTAAAGTATATATTATTATTCTGTTTCTAAAACATTTTGACCTGTCGTTTTGCTTTATGATTTTTGTATCCATTTTTTTCTTATTTCTTACTCGATAAAATTTTACTAATAGTCCTATTTATAGATTTTGGTTTCGTTCTTTCTGCGTTTATCTTATTTTTCAATTCCTTTTTTTCACGTCTTCATTTGTAAAAATGGCAAACGTAGTAACGTGTGGAGTGATTGATCAGTTATCTAAAATTATCTGATGTATCAGCAACAAGGGCCATTAGCGGCGAACACCTTGCACAGTTGAAAAGAAAAAGCCACAGAAAGAATATAATAACAAACCATGATACTTCCAGATAGAATTGAATCCTTTTATAAGACAAAACCAATTTTATCGTACGAGACAAGCTT